ATTCTCCCCTTTCCTGATGCTCCTGGCCCCCAGACCATCAAAGGCAATGTCACTACTGGGGGACTTAGCAAATTATGCAAAGTCTTCAGACGGTGACAGTGCTGCTTTAACATTGCAACTTTTGGACTATACTTTGGGCCAAGACATGAACGACTAAAGTTACTTAAAACATCTCTTGAAAAATTAGGATAGTAGAGCAGCATGGGAAATGTAGAATCAAGATTAACATCACAAATAATATTTATTTTCATTTGAACTCCTGACTTATCATTGCTCTTTGGGGGATGGCCATCTTTGAATCCTCTTTGGTCAGGAGGACCAACTAACTGTCAAAACAATGCACAATCTGCACAACACATGATACCTGCTGTAGCGGAGAGGTAGTATAATCCACAATATCTCTGCTGGGTAACAGGAACAGTATAAAATAATCCAGGTGAATAAGCACAGCATACAATAATCCCGGTAGCGTTGTAAGAATCCTTCCTTCCCAAGAACTACACGACACATAGGCTGGGAGTCAACTGAGGTTTTATTTTCAGGTCACTGTATTTATGGGATTCCCCATGCAAGGGGTTTCCCTACTGACATTCCAGGGGTGGTACAGTAGGGGACTACATGGGGAACTGACCAACACATACATTTCTCCCATCATGCACTGCTGGACGAGAGGGATACTCCCACTGGAATATACCATTAATGGGATTATCCCTCCGTGCAGTAGAAATTAAATTTTACATTAAAATGTATGACTATAATAATATTCACTTGAATTACACAAACGGACGTTCGGTAGATAGCTGGGAGCTGAGCGCATTGTTCATGAGAATACCGCTCAGCTCCCAGTCTAACTAACCGAACGCCGCACGAAATACACATTATTTCTAACATATGCTTAAAATACCGATTAGTATCAGGGGAACAAACTACCGAACGGCCAGGGCTCCCGAACGGCCTGGAAGTCCAGCGGTGTTTGCGCCGTCAAGTAGCCGTTTTTAGTTCCAGGCACTAGACGGCAAAACCCTGCTGCGCTAACAAAGGAACCAAGATGGCCGACGGCCACCTCGGGAAGCCTTTAACTACCGATTTCAACAATGTTGCAATCGGTTAATGGGCGCCACACGACCTCCTGTGTGTGGTCGACCATTCGGTAGTTCATTCGTTTCACGAACAGTGTTTAAACTCACTGTCTGTGAAACTGCATAGGAAATGCTGGGTTTTCCGCATTACAAGCATACGAACGCTCTCGTTCGCATGAAAGCCACATACCACATTATACTTGGTTCTTACAGCAAAAAAAACCATGATATCCACACATGCAATACAGGCATAGTCTTAAGTGGCTAGGTTTGCCACAATGCTCCCCCAGAACCAAGCCGGCATACACAGTCTGATTCTAACGGATCGGCTTGAGGATGTCCGGAAGAGCACTCACGGATCACGGTTCCAAGTCTGTTTGTCAGGACAACCCATCGGCGTTGCCATTTTGCTTCCCAGGGCGCTAGTGAATGGTAAAGTCAAAAGGCTGCAGCGCCAAACTCCAGCGCAGCAGCCTGGCATTGTCTCCTGACACCCTGTTCAGCCCCACCAACGGGTTGTGATCCGTGAGTAATGTAAATGGTTGTCCGTATAAGGCTGCAGTTTTCTGAGGGCCCACACCACAGCCAGGCACTCCTTTTCGATGGCAGCGTAGCTGACTTCCCTGGGTAAAAGTTTTTGGCTTAGGTAAGCTACGGAATGTTTGCCGCCATCCGCTCCGACTTGTCTCAGTACTGCTCCCAATCCAAACATAGAAGCATCTGTGTGGATGAGAAAACGTTTAGTTGGATCAGGAGCAGAAAGTACAGGTGAGTTAACAAGTGCCGTCTTGAGCTGTTGAAATGCCTGGTCACACTCGGGGGCCCAGACTACTAGCTTAGTGAGATTCTTACGGGTCAAATCAGTGAGGGGTTTGGCGAGGGCACTGTAGTTGGCCACAAATTTCCGGTAGTACCCTGCGGTCCCTAAGAAGGCGAGTACTTGGGTCTTGGTGCGAGGGGTTGGCCACTGGGCGACTGCATCTATTTTAGCAGGCTCTGGTTTCTGCTGTCCACTTCCTACCCTTTGCCCTAGGTACTGAACTTCTGCCATCCCTATATGGCATTTGCTGGGTTTTAGGGTCAGTCCGGCTTCCTGGATCCGGTCTAGTACGGCTTCTATGTGGGTCAGATGTTCGGGCCGGGAGCAGCTGAAGATGGCGATATCGTCTAGATACGCGCATGCATACTCCTGGAACCCATCCAATAACCTGTCTACCATCCTCTGGAAGGTAGCTGGAGCATTTTTCATCCCGAATGGCATAACCTTAAACTGGTACAGGCCAAACGGGGTGACAAAGGCCGACTTGGGAATAGCGTCTTCTGCTAACGGAATTTGCCAGTACCCTTTCCACAGATCTATCGTGGTGAGATACTGGCCCCTGGCCATTTTGTCTAGGAGCTTGTCTATTCGGGGCATGGGGTAGGCGTCTGAGGTCATTTTGTCATTGAGCCACCGGTAGTCTACACAGAAACGTGTCGTCCCGTCTCGTTTCGGTACTAATACTACCGGGGAGGCCCAGGGGCTGTCGGACTACTCTATCACTCCTAACTGAAGCATTTCCTCAATTTCCTTGCACATACTTTCTTTGATGGCTTTGGGTATGCGGTATGGAGTTTGTCCAAGAGGGGTCTGATCTAAGGTTTCTACCTTGTGCGTGGCTAACGGGGTATAGCAGGGTAAATTGTAAAACGTGGCTCCCTTTTCCTGGAGCAACCTTTGCACTTGGGTTCGCTCCTGGGGATTTAATCGCTCTCCTAACTGTACTTCTCCCAGATCTCCACTCTGGCCCTCTTGGTCTAGGAGATCTGGGAGGGGTAGATTATCAAAATCCTCGGTGGCAGGGGCACAGATTGCGGTCACCTCTTCAGTGCGCTCGTGGTACGGCTTGAGCATGTTCACATGGAGCATGCGTTTGCCTCTCGCGCCTGTAACCAGGCCGATCACATAGGTGGTGTCACAGATATGTTCCACCACCTTGTAAGGACCCTGCCAGGAAGCCTGCAGCTTATCTTTGTGGACTGGTCGCAAGATCAGCACCTTTTGCCCTACCTGAAAGCTGCGGTGCCTGGCTCCCTTATCATACCATCTGCGCTGTCGTTGCTGGGCTACCTGGAGATTGTCTCGGGCGGTCTGGGTCAGCATCTCCAGGCGTTCTCTGAACTCGAGCACATAGGGTATGATGGGGGTGCCATTAATGGTCTCTTCTCCCTCCCAGTGTTCCCGTATCAAGTCAAGGGGTCCCCTCACTCTCCTTCCAAATAACAATTAGAATGGAGAGAATCCGGTGGATTCCTGGGGCACCTCCCGATACCTCCCGATACTCAAACAGTAAGTGGGGTAAAAACCTTTCCCAGTCCTTCTGGGTGTCCATGAACGTACGGATCATCTGTTTAAGTGTTCCGTTAAACCGTTCACAGAGTCCATTGGACTGGGGGTGATATGCAGAGTTCAGGATTTGCTGTACCCCACATATCTTCCAGAGCTGATGTGTTACTTCAGCGGTAAACTGAGTGCCCCTATCCGAAATAATCTCCCGGGGAAATCCTACCCGGCGAATATTCGCATCAGGGCCTCGGCTACTGTTTCAGCATGGACATTGGTTAACGCAACTGCCTCTGGGTATCTGGTGGCGTAATCCACCACGGTCAAGACATATTTCTTGCCGGACGGGCT